AGGGACTCTGTGCAGCTTATTACCGGGTAATTTTAGGATTTGGGGATTGAAAGTAAAGGAAATACTTTGGCTCAGTTTCAGCATTCACAGGACCACCCCTATTATCTCTTCATAGTGCTCCGTTATCTGAGCAGAAAACGAGAGATGAGGGGAGGCAGAATCCCCTGGGGGGGGGGGCTTCGGAGTTACTTGGGATAGCCACGACCAGGCCACTTGAAAGGAAAAGAGAACTTTGGTCAACCTGCCACCTTGAGCCCGCCCACCTGGTGACTCCACAGGCAGGTCACACACAGGGTCGCCAGCCACACCAGGCCGACCCTCTCATAGCCCTTCTGCTTTTAGCCTATTGTCCTCATTCTTTCTTCTCATCTGTACTCGTGCTTGCCGCTGCCCCTCTCTCCACTCTCCGGTGTGATCCTCTTCTTCTTTGTCTTCTGCAGCTTCTTCTGTTTTTACCCCCTGGGGCCCCACCCCTTTTACCCTGAACTGTGCCCAAATTTAGATAAGAAGATACAGCCCTGCAATGAAGAAGTCACATCAGGAAGATCAGTCTCCTGGGAAACAGCAGAGAAACAGCTGCGTCTGGGGGCGGGGGGGAGGGAAGCAGAAAAGGGGCTGGAGGGCAGCGGAAAGGGCACATCTACCAACGTCTGGAGCATGCGTGGTGCTTTGTGGGTTCTACAGCATTTTCACACTTGGGATTTCTTTTGCTCTTCATAGAAACACCTTGGGGTAGGCAGAGCAGCGGGTCCCTGTTCTTGGCTTTTAGGAAAGGAAGGGCTGGAGGAGTGAGGGGCTATTGCCAGGCCCCCCCGGGTTAGAGAGGGCAGCTCCAAGTCTCCAGCCCCACTCTTCTGAATCCAAGTCCTTCTCTCCACCATGCCATGGAGATGCCCAAGAGGCCCTCTCACAACACGGGAATTGCTCTGCACCTCTCGCAGGAGCCTTGCTCCAACTCATTACCTGCAGGAGAGTCTGGGTGCCTCCATGGTGGGGCTGGGCTCCTAGGGTTGTCAGTGTCGCTTCTACCTGAGAAGCATAGAATGGCTCCTACGGGAAATCACCGTTGACTATCACGGGCCTTAGTGAGTGTTTTTTGAAAAGGCTGGGTCCCTCCTTGTGTTTGAGGCTGCACAGTGTTAGGGGTCCTGTGTCCGCTGGGTTAAGAGTTTCTGTTAGCCCACAGGCTGCCCTCTGTCAGCTCCACTCCCACCCCTGCCCTTGTGACTCTGGCTCCTCTTGTCCCCCCCTTGGTTTTGTCTGCCTCTGGTTGTCTTCCTACTCTCACCCCTGTCCCCTCAGTCCTTACTCCTAGTTACTGATTTGATTCTATGGCCCACCTGGTTTTCCAGCTCCCCTTTGATGGCATTCGATGCTCCTGGCACAAATTCTTGGGGCCGATCCCCAGTGTTTTCAACTTCCCCCTCTTTTCCCATCACAGACTCCCTGCATACGCAGCCCTCCTCTGCTTCGTCTCTGCTGATTCTCATTGTGCGAGGACTGAGCTAGCGCTGTCTTGGAGAAGCTGTGAGGGCAGACCACCAAGAGTAGTTTGGTGCTGTCCCCCTTCCCCTGCACCCAACACCCCTGTCCCTGTCCCCCCTGCTGTTGAGAGGCACTGCAGAAGATCCTGGCACACGTGTAAATGAAAGGATGTACAGGGGTGTTTGTAGCAGCATCACTGGAAATATAAAAGAAGTGACCTAAATCTCCATTAATAGGAATAGGTTATGATACTTCCAAATAACAGGAGGAAGACAGCTTTTGGTATGCAGACACAGAAGACTCGTTGAGTCAAATTTTAAGTGAAAAGAGCAAAAGGAAGAACAACATCTAACTTTCTTTTTTTGCTACTATTCGTGTTAATAAAAGAAAACAGGAAAAGGTACTTACCTGTGTGTTGTGCGTGCACGGAGTTTCTCTGGAAGGCAGCAGAAACGGTGGTTACCTCTGGGGAGGGCCAGAGATGGGGAAAGGGCGGCGGTGAAACTTCCTTGCAGAGCTCAGCACCGCGTGTGTAGCGCCCTTTGCACAGTTCTAATAAAGAGAAGATCTAGGCTTTAGAACCCACATGCAGATGTGGACATGGACGAGACCTCGGGGATCACTCCTGTTGTGCAGGTCAGACCACTGAGCCATTAAGGGGTAAATAATTCGTCTAAATTCCCGCAACTACTGAGTGTCAGAGCTGCGACCAGACCCCTCACTGTCACTCTGCACCTACACTCGAGGGAATGCGGCTTCAAAACACTGTGTGCCAGTGGAGCTCACACCATCAATGACAGGTTATACCCCAGGGTGAGACATTCGAGACCCAGTGTCTACATCTGTAAAATGTGAACGAGAAAGTTGTGAAGATTAAATTAGGTAGTGTATGTTTAACCTAGTGCCTAGCACATACCACACCTTCGATACATGTAAGTTAATGCTGTTTATTATTTTGAGGCTATTTTGGAGTTGGTTGGCGCAGGGAGAGAGCTCTGAGGAAGGTTGTTATAGGAGTGTCCAGATGAAGGCTTGCAGAGTAAAGGGGGGAGAGGGGGAGAGGGAGAGAGAGAGAGAGAGCCTGACTTGATTCTCATTTATTGAAATAGACACCAGAGAATCTCATTGAATAAATGATATTTTACATGGAAAACATATGTGCGAGAGGGATATGGTAGAGAAAACTTCCAGCCCCTTTTACTCAGAAAGGCCACCGAGGGCCACCGTGCCCAGCCTTGTCTCTCACGCTGAAAACAAATGCACACAGTGCAGGGCCATCTCGTGCACTTCCTGTCATTCCTCCTCCGTTCCCTGTTGAGAATAAGCCCTCATTAGCCTTGCTAACTTAGTTCCTTTCCTACTTTCTTTTCTTCCGGGGCCACGGGTCAAGTGGCGACTCCAAGTGCTAAGTGCTCTTCTGGGAACTTGAAGGCTTCCCCTGGAGAGGCACCAAGGGGACCCTGCGTCCTGGGCGGCGTTGCTCACAGCCGTCTGGGCTGAGATGCTTAAGAAGAGCCCTGTCAAAGCTGAGCTTTCTGGGAAAACTTTCCTCTCTGTTCCCCTTGGGGCCAAGAAGCCACCTCCTTATAAGCTGATAGGCAAGAATATGAGGCCCCCTCTCTTGTTCTCCTCATGATTTATAATTATTAGATTCCAGGTTCTGTGATCAGCCCTCCTGGGGTCAAACCCTCACTCCTCCACGATAACTCTGTGATTGTAGGCAAGTCGTATAACCCCTTCACCCCAGTTTCTGTCTGAAAAAATGGGAGGACCAAATGAGTTAATCCAGGTACAAGGCAGAGCATGGGACTGGGCTCTTAGTAAACTCTCTACAAAGGTAGTTTGAAATGGTCCATAAGCTCCAATCTCACTGAAAAGGGTCATTATCACTGATTGCTCTTGTGTATGTGCCCCTCCCTCCTGCCCCCTCCCCACCCCCCTTGTAAGTTCGATCTTCAGTGGCCTGGGCTTTCATAAAGAATGCTGTTTGGTTCTAGTAGTTCTGCAAGCAGGGGGACTTTAATGAGGACACTGTCCTGGTGGACAAATGTCTTTCCTGATCCAGGATAATATGTGATATAGAAAAGCTTTTAACATGAGTGAATGTGGCATTGACTTGTGTTGTTTCAAAGACATAAATATAGGACAAAGTCACTTAACCCAGAAGGCAGAGGTCAATACATGGTAGATTTTTTAAAAAAATCCTGCTTTTGGCACACACAGGATGTGTGTTACAGTGTGTTACACTCTGTAGTTTGTAATTGATTCTGATGGTTTTGGCTGGCATTTACCCATGTGATTATCAAGTGGATTCCCTGGTCTTGGAGAAAACGGAAATGTTTGTCTATGTAACCAAAATAATTAGACCATGGTCAAAACAAATATTTCATAAGTCAAGTCAGAGGACACCATTGTCACACAGTCGCACATCTAGGTAAGGCACTGAATTGTCTGGGCAGTGGCCAGCGTGGACATCCTGTGACCAGTGGCCTGGCCTGTGGGAACAGGGCGTCATGTGAGACGGCCAGCTCTTCCGTTTGCACAGCGCCTGTCACCGTGCAAAGAGCTTTCACATAAACGATCTCATTTGATAAGTTTTAGCCCAGACTTACATTCTATTTTCCTCAATGGGCCCCATCTGATGATAGAAAACATTATACTGTGATAGGATGAAAACCTTTAGCCCACCTTACCATGGCCTCTACACAGCCAGCTGAGGAACGGTTTTTTGAATCACCGTCTTTTGCTGTCCTGTGGTGGTTTTCCAACACAGTCTGAACTTCAAAAAGCATTAACTTGCTTATGTCTTTTATAGAGGGAAAGTTCTAAAGATGCATTGTGCTAAGTAAATGTAAATATTGATACAGGTTCTTTAGTCTCTAAATTCCCCTTGAGAATTTCACTTTAAAAATGAAATGCACATTGTATTTTTACCTAGAATCCCGGAGGATTTCTGCTAGGCAATCCCACAGGCAGACTCAGTTCCCTGCAGAACATGAGACCTGACCCTGAAATCTAAGCAGTCACCCCAATTTCAAAGAATTCTTTTCCGTAGATAGGGGAACCTTTTATTAAAAATTAGGGCATGGTGCATTGCTTTACACCTAAAAGTGGTATGTGGCCAGTGTTTACCTTTCAGTGCATGTAAATTTAGATTTACTCAGAAATGTTATTGAACCATGACACCCTAGAGGAGATGTCTTGGGATATCACCCATGACAGGGTAAAGCTTCTCAATGCCTTTGCTTAACTGTGTCTCAAGTATCGGTCAAGGCTAAACGGCCGGCCTTTGTGGGAGATTTATATCTTTGGACTCTGATTCCACGTTCAATATACTCCCAGCTTGAGCTCCATTCATGTTAAATCAATACCGTGAATCACACCGACTGGAAGACCCAATGTAGTGAATCGAGTGTATCACTGGATGCATGTGGAATACCTTTAAAAGTCATTGAAAACAGAACCTGTTCGCTTTGTCTCCATGGCAACCTCAGTTTTGTGTGTGTTCCCCACAGAGAGTTCTGGCGCAGCAGAGGAGCCAACAGATATACCCGAGGAAGTGGAAAGTACAGATAAAGATGCTAGTATCATCACCACAGTTGCTGCAACAGTGGCCACAGAAACACTCACTGAAATGACGGATTCTGCCTTCCTGGAAGAAGAGGATCATCCGCTCGAGTTCATATTAATGGTGTCGATCCCGTTGATTTTATTGGCATTCCTATTCTTATCAGTGGTATTCATTATGATAAGATATAAAAGAAAAAAAACTAAACAAGGTAAATATTTAGCATGTTCCCAATTCCAGACCATTGCCTCATGTGCCAGTGAACAATCAACAAAACAAAATTCTTTTCTTTTTTTCTACACAGAATCTTCTGTCCAAGGATCTCAGAGTATTTTCCAGACATGTGAGTATTCCTAACGCCTGCCTGGAGCTGGGGATGGGGTAGGAGAAGGAACTGAGAGGTTTCAAGTTAAGCAACAAGGACTGTATAAAAGAGTAAGTCATGAATGACATATTTCAATGAAATTTTCCAGAGTTTAAAAGTACCATATTTCTTTCTTTTTAAAAAAGAGAATGTTTTCAGGCTAAATGGAAATTTAATATACACAGCTGCCAGCTCTGTACCAAATTCAGATGAGGACCCTGTATGACCTTGACCAATAAATAGGTCAGGGTAGCATGTCCCTGCCATTGGGGGAAAGGGTGAGGGTGGTGAAGCAGTGGGTCAGACTGGGGTCAGGACGGACCGGGGTCAGGGATGGGAGGGCAGAGGCCTTGGGGTCATTCCACAGAAGGGGACTCTGCCACCTCTGTTTCTGTCGCAGATGTTGTCCCCCCACCACCCCACCACGTCCTGGTTCGATCTTGAAAAGGCCTGGGTAAAGCAGTGTTCTTATCCCATTCAAGCAATGCTAAGTTTCATAAGCAAAGTCTTAACTGGCTAAAGATTACTATCATTAACCTCATACAAAACAAATTTCCTAGAGAATTCCCTAGACCAGCAATTCACTCTGAGCGTATTCAGTGCCAATTCTAGAGGCATCAAATACTAGGTTTTAGGGTTGTTCTAGGTCCAAAGCAGACTTGGGTACTTTGGGCTTGTGCTAGGAAAAAATGACTCCAATTAGATTTTTAAGCTGAAGCCTTTAGTCATTCCAAAACTCACTCAAGGGAGGAGAATCTTTCCAGTAAGATACATGTTCATATGTGCAACAAAACTCCGAGTATGTCCCTCCACCCGCTAACAGGGCATCTCTGTGTCTGAGGTCAGGGCCTTGGCCTGCAGGCCTCGCTCGCGGTCCTGGACCAGGCGAGTTCTCAGCAGGACCCCTCCCCCACCCCAGGAAGTGGTCGTTCTCTCTTCTCTCCTGGGTGAGCGGCTGGGAGCCGCACAGAAGCCCTGCAGTGCGTTCCCTTTCACGGCAGGGGCTGGCACAAGAGATTCCGGGGGAGTGGGAAATACACTCTTGTCCACTGCTTGAAGTTTCAGGGTGACCTAGTAACGGTGGTCACGTGGGAGCTGCTGGTAAGCTGAAGAAAAACGAAAAGCAAACAGAGCTGCCTGGACCCCATTGTGTTGAAGTAGCGAAAGTGAGAATTTCCTGCCCACACCATAGATCACCCCACAGCTGGTTTGACCTATGGATGGGGTCATGGGGTTGGGGGGAACTTGAGGGTATTCAGTGGAACGGCCATGCTCTTAGGCTCTGAATCCAGAAAGGGGTTTTGATGATTGAACATCATCATGAGAAGCTCAAAGTTCAGAAGCCATCCTAAGTGAGAGGCAGCCCTCCCTCAGACCTGCCCCGCCCCCCACCGCTGCGCGCCTTGTGCGTGCACCCTGCACGGCAGCCACACTCGGGGCGTTGGCTGTTCCTGGGCCCAGCCTGTGCTTTCACGGTGTCTCTGCCTGGGATCGCCTTCTCTGCTTGGCAAACTGCGGCCCCGCTCTGCGATGCCCAGTTCTAAAGATTTTATGACGCCTTGAGCACCACTTTTCAGGCAAAAATAATTGCCACCTCTTGTGTGCTTTCGGAGGCCGAGGTCGGTCATGCTTGCTGTGCACAGTAGTGACACTGGCATAAGCTGGCCACGTGGCCTTTTTTTGTCTTTCTTTCTTACTAGGTTATGCTGTTTTTAAGAGAAGCAAGACCGTGTCTTATTTATTATGTTTAACAGCGAGGCGTGGAGGCTGTAAGGACAGACTCAGAGCTGCACTGCCTCTGTGATGCCTGCCCTTCCCCCTTCGATGAGCTGTCTGTCGGCTCCTCGTCCGCAGTGCAGGAAGGTCCCAAATCTCCCTCACAGAGCTGTGATGAGAATGAAATGAATCCATCTGTGGAAATCACTTAGGAAAAAACAATCCCTGACATATTGTGTTAGCTTATTATTATTATCCGTTTTACCTAACACAGTGCCTAGCCCTGCGCATAGATTAGCTGCTCAGTAAGTGTTGGTTGAGTAAATTAAACAACGTTAGAACCTGTGTTAAAGAACACCTATCCTCAGAGACTAAAGACACATTTTCACATATCCGTACTACACATAGGCACATTCTTTTTAGTTTAAGTGTGCCTCACTTGTAAGCAAACACAAAGGGTAGGAAACCTAGAATTTCAGAGCAGTTGCTTATCACAGAAGTTTTTGATCCAGAGAGCTGTATTTGAATATTTTCTTTTACTGTCTACGTCTTTAGTGTAGCTATAGGCGGTTAACTGCTTATCACTTGCATACCTCCTCAGACCAGGCGAATGCTAAAGGGTTAATGACCACGGCCCACTGAATTCCACCCATTCGTATTCAATATTATGAGCAAGTCAATACAAGGAGAATATTTAAATGAACGAAGTCTGATTTAAGTACTTTTCCCCCCCTTCCCCCAGGAAAAATAAAACTGCCATCGTGGGTCAGCATTTTGCTGGGAAAATCCCCCAAGAACTGTTTTTGGGGAGAGCACGGATGGCGTCCTCTCAGAGTTGGGGGTACCTAGATACGGTTTCATTCTGCACGTGAATAGAGTCTGGTACACTATTCTACACCAGGAAAAAGTCTTTCAATCTGGCAGCTGAGGAGGAGTTGGCCCACATTTTCAGGAAGCACACTTCATCCATTTGGGAATTAGTTTTTTCTTTGGGCCTGTCTGGTTCAAGTCCAAGAAAAGTGCTGTGCAGTAACTCCATGTTCTATTGTCATTCCTCCTGCACCCCCAGGCAGTAGATTTGCGGTTGTTATTATTTAATGTTTATTACGCATCTTGGGGTGCTGTGTCTCTCTGAAAGAGCTGCGGAGGCAGCTGGAGGTAAACCATCACTTCACACAGGCCGTGGCGACGGGACGCCTGGCTCTGCTCAGGAAATCTCCAGAAAGAGACTGTCTTCCTTGCTCATCGTTCAGCCTGGAAACAAGATAAACAAGCCAGGGTCCTGCTGGGCCCCCACCCCCACCTGGCCCCCAGCAATCCCACCAGCCAGTGCACAGAGTAGCTGGGAGCGGGGCATTGCGGGGCCAAGTGGGTGTAATGTAGGAACTGAAAGGGGAGGACAAAGTGGGGAGAAGGCTGTGAAACGCAAGAGCTGTGAGGGGGAAAATGGAAGCAAGTGTAGGTGAGGGGCTGTGTAAAAGCTGCATTTGCCTTTTGGTTGCAGGGGAGTAGGTGGCTATTAATAAAGAGATCTAGGCCAGGTGGAGTGGAGTGTGCAGGGCCTGACTGCTGAGGACGAGCAGTAATTGGTCTCCCTCCTGGTCTAATGCTCTGTGGCTGTGCACTCTCCCAGATGTTTGCCTGTTGCCATGGCGGCTGGGGCAGGGGTAATGGTCCTGGAGCAGGGGAGATGAGGCCACAAAAGGCTTTTTGCTTTGTTTGAATACTGATTACACGAGCTTCCAATTTGGTGCATCTGGAGCACTTTGGTAATGGGGTTTTAAACTTTTCCATCATCTGCAGGTGGGGCTAGCTTTTGCTGACTGTGAAGCCTGCAGGCATTCAGATTATAAAGAAAAATCTACGCCCTGGGCACTGGGGCTGCGGGAACACTTGCTCCCTGAGAAATTAGCAGGCGGTTATTAAGCAGGGGAAGCGGAGAGGGAGGAGGAGGGAATGGCAACCCAGGGGGATTTTTATGGGTCACCTGTAGGGGAAGTTCAATTTGTACAGGGGCTTTATTTATATTAACATCCCTTAAGGAAACAACATGTCAATTTTAGATGAAAAATGTGTATAAAATATAAGATGTACATACTCCTCTTTCCCCAAAGTTTTGAGGAGTCAGGTCTCTGCAGAAACCGTCAGATTCCTCTGGTGGGTAGAGGCGATGGAGGGGCCGGGTGAGGGGCAGGAGGTCGTAACCTACAGCCCCGGGAAGGTAAGCAGTGGTGGCATGAAGTTTACATCTGTGCCCAGCTTTCCTGGATTAGCAATGCCATTCAAGCTTGCCAACCCACAGGAAATTACAATAGCTCCCGGCTGCTGCCAGGAGCTCGGTTCCAGGTGCCTGCTGGTTCTGTCCCCTTGCTGGGGACCTGCCTTTCTGCAGGCCAGACAAAATGAGGTCTCTGACTGCCAAGGACTGGAAACATCAAAGTATTTGGTGGACCTGTACAGAGTGGCTTGCTTCTTAATGGTTTTCACATCATACAGGGTGCAGCAGGCCTCTGCTCTCCACTTGCTTGACAGCTTTGCTTCATTTCTCCGGGTGCATTGATCCCCTTGCCAAACGCAGCGGAGCCTGAGCGGGGACATTGGGCTCTAATTCTTGCCACATGTTCATTTGGAGTCTGAGCTGCATTAGAGCCATCTTGCCAACTGTTATCTGATTCCTACCTCACGCAATAGCAGGGAAAATAGGCTCGTTGGAAGTTTCACTATTACGATAACACTAAGTCCAGAACACTGACCATGAATGTAAGCCAGGTGCTGGACAATCCATATTATGTCTATTAATTTACTCAGTAAAGGAATACTGTGTGTTTACCAGGTACTGTGCTAGATGGGGGGCTGGGGGAGGTGAGGGGTGCTATGGCAAAAAGACAGACATGATCCCTGCCTGCCCTTTTGGAACTGTGGTCTATTGGAAGAGACAGGTAAAGAGAGTTAAACAGATGAATCGATCCATGACCAATTGTGGCAAATGCAGTGAAGGCAGCAAGCAAGGCCTTAAGCTGGGAACACCAGCAAAGATGGGCCCCTTCAAGAGAGAGGAGTTGGGGCGGCCTCCCTGAGGAAAGTGTATCAGTGAGAACAGAAGTGAGGGATCCAGCCGTGCGAAGAGCAGGTGCGAGGCGAGTTCCAGGGGAGTTCCAGATGGAGCGCCCACAGCCTGCTCTGGGACACAGGGACGGTCACACGGCGTTCCGTTTGCTGTGTCACCAGGAGATGGAAAGCAGTGCTTTGACCTGGGACATTTTGGAGCTCAGGGCCACGGAGCACGTCCTCTCATGAGACCCCTTTCTCCTTCCCCCAACACTGCTTTTCTCTTCGTGTGAGAAAACAGACGGAGAGGGGTGAACATCTGATCTGAAGTGAGCGCTCTCAGAGCACTGTCCTATCTGAAAGAAAGCAGATCGCACATGGAGTGGGACCCCGTTCCAATATGGCAGTCGGCACGTGTTCGACTTAGAGGTTCACTGTTGCTGCTTGAAAAATGCAATTTACTTAACACCCTTTTGTTCTCTTTGTAAAGCAGATTTTGGCTGTTGTTGAACTAAAAAGTTGTTGCAGACAGACAAAGCTAATGCGACCTTTATATTTATTCTCTTTTAGATGAACTGGGAAGCGACAACCTGAAACTGTGAGTCCCCCCACACCCTCCAGTCCAGCTCAGTGGGGACGGGGAGTGAGGGAGAGGAGCAGACTAGAGGGGCACCTGCCTTTGCAAGAATTTTTGTTCCTGGAGGGAACCTCTTGCTTCCCGGGCCCTGGGAGACAGCCCCCAGCGGCCTACAGCCCTTGGAAGGATGTCCCTGTCCTCAAACCTCAATCCAGAAGGAGAGCTGGGCTGAGGACTGGGTCCTGTGTTCGGAAAAGAACCTTTTTCTGAGGGCTGCTACCAATTCCACATGCACAGTAGTTACATATTCGGACCCTGGGCGTTTTTCAAAGACATCAGTGCATTTGTTTGGATTCAAACTTTTATCAGCAGGGAAGATACTTTGGCTGGTATTAAGGGAGACGAGCCCTAGTAGAAGAGGAGTAGAGAGGAGAGGAAGAGAGGTCCCAGAGGAGGGAGGGGAAGAGGGAGGGAAACAGACGATTCAACCGGATGAGTGTTCTAGAGCGATGCCCACCTCCTCTTCCTGCCCGCTCCCCCACCCCCAGCAGCCTTACCCAGGCACCCCGCTCACTTCCTCTGCAGGCTGTAGCACCTTCACAGCTCTTCTGAGCGGGCGCTCTTCCTCCCCAGCCCCACCTCCTCCACTAACTGGGGGCTTCCTTCCCCTAACGGGGCGCTCTCACCCTCTAGACCCTGGCAAGTGAGGGCAGTGGATCTCTGAAAGCAACTGCCCCCTTTCTCCAAGACAGCCAAGTGTGAGAATTGAAGGGGGAGGTGATGCAAATATTCTGTTGACTGTGACTTCTTGACTTGGGGTCATTGTTCAAAAACCCCAAAGAAAGGGAAATGAAACTAAGCCAGGCGAAGTTGCCCAGTGTGGCAACTCCCCGGAGCAGCCCCGCTGTGGTGGAAGCCCCGTGTGCTCCCTGTGTGCCTTCAGGGGAGCAGAGTCTCCTGGCCTCCCTGTCAGCCCACGCCTGGGTTGTGCGCCCTCCGTTTCTGGATTGGTGAGAAGTGAAGGGTTTTGTTTTGTTTTGTTTTTTAGCCTTCCTTCCTGCTAGGGTTCGGTACACTTGACTAGAGCACATGCTGAGTCTACCCTGGAGTATAAGACCCTGAATCAAGATCCTCTTCCTCACAGTCAATATTGTTGGTGCCCCCACAGACATTCAGCACTCCACACATTTTTTTCTTTCTTTCAACAAGCTTTTTGCTCTCTTTCTAGCCCAATTTTTGAGGAAGACACACCGTCTGTTATGGAAATAGAAGTGGAAGAGCTTGATAAGTGGATGAACAACATGAACAGAAATGGTACGTGGTGCCCTCGGTTTTTCTGTCCTCTGTGGTACGAGAAGGCCGAGGCAGCTTCATGAAAGCTCCCTCACCCTGGAGTGGGACAGTGGGAGTCCGGTCCCCATAAGCTCTGGCACCCGCAGATGATACACTTGGGTCTGCCTGTTTCAAATATTCAGTCCCTTCATTGCATCGTTGCCGCCTGCATGCGTTTGTGTAGAAGTTTTTCAGATGGCCTTTTTCAAGGAGAAAGTGGTCTTTTTTCAAGGAAGGAAATCTGAGTGTGCTGGAAAAAGTTGGCACCTGGCATCACTTTATATTTAGAGAGCTGTGACTTTAACCTGTGTGTGGTGACAAACTTTATCAGCTACAATCGACAGAGATGGGTGCTGCCTGTGGCAATAGACACTGGCCATTTGTGGCTCTTCACATTCAATTTTTAAAAGTAAAATTTAAAATGTGTTTTTTTCTCAGTCACTTTAGCCACATTTTGCGTGCTCAGCAGCCACTTGTGGGTCGTGGCTGCTGTATCACCGCATGCAGATCTAGACCGTCTCCATCACTGTGGAGAGATCTATCTGGCAGCGCCGACATGGACCAATAGTATAAACATTGCCAAGTAGCTTAGTTTCCAACTGGTACCTGGCAGTAACGGTAGCATATGATCCTCACCTTTTATTTAATTAAGATTTGGACTTACAAGTAATGACAGATGTTTTTTTCTTTTTAAAATTTCTTTAAAAATAAAAAAATATTTTAAATAATCAGACTAACTTAATAATATCCACTATTTATACTGTCGCATTGTTTGTGTTTTTAACGTTTATCTTAAAAAATACCCTGGAGGTCGTCAGATTCAGCAATGCACAATGGAGTTTCTCTAATCCAAAGATTTGTTATCAGAATTTATTGTACCAGAGGCTCGTCAAGATGAGTTTCCCAAAAGATTGGCACCACTCAACTAGCGTGCGCAATTCTGAGCAGTTTTTCATCCTCCAACACCGAGGGCAGGATGGCCCTGGGCAGCACATGAGCAAGGGGGCGGGTCATTGAGATAACCCTTCAAGTAGGTTCACTGTTGTACTCGTTCATACAAGTAACATACGTACACAGTAGAACTAGGTTTGAATTAGTAAAATTCAAACAAAAAATGGAAAGAAAAGAATTCCCCCACCCAAAGATGACCTCTCTTAAAATCTTGGTGTATTTCCTTCTGTTCCTGAGGTCATTTTAATACAAAATCATGATCCTGTTACACTCATTCAATCATAAAGTGGGGGGGATTTCTGTTGCACACTGAAGCGGAATTGTTTTGACACACAGGTGACAGACCCAGTTGCCCTTTATGCCCCCTAAAAATAGTCACGGTGTGAGGGGGGAGAACTCGGACCTCTCCGAGGTTATCAGCTCCCCACTCCGCCCGCTTCTGTCTGATCGTGGGTCCCAACGGGCACCGTCCCGCGCACATCCGGACCTCGGGGGAAGCCACCTCACTGCAGGGTCTGTCCAGAACTGTGCGGATTCTAGCTTTTGGAGCCACAGAGGGGCTCTTCAGGGCCAGGATGGCCAAACCGAGGGGAAGGGGCCCTCTCCCACGGGGCCAGAAGCACCCTGAAGTCCTATCGATCTGTGCTACCAGTGCCTTTTCCACACCCAGAGCATTGCCCCCACTCACCTTGGCACCCCTGGGCCTCCCCGGGGAGGCCGTGTCTGCACACGGGACCACACAGGCTGGGGGAATGGGAGGTTTGCTTGTCTGAGTTCTGTGGACAGAAAATAGAGCTTCAGGGACTCACCATGTATTTGCTTTTGTTCTGTCCTAGCCGATAGTGAGTGTTTGCCTACCGTGAAAGAAGAAAAGGAATCAAACCACAGCCCCAGGTACTTCTAATTTCTCCCGTAGATTCTCTGTGTATGGGGGAAGGGCACTGGGGACCACAGTGGAGCACTTTGGCTCACCTTCTGGGTGCCTGTAAATTTTACGTGACATTTTACCAGGCTGCATGTGTGTGTGGTGTGGAGAAAAGGAAGTGTGAGGGATGGAAACTAGAAAGGTACAAAGTAAATAGTTACTCTTTATTTTTAGAAATAATATAGTGTTGGCATTTTCTTGCCCTTCTGAAGAGGCACTGACTGTTCAGTAGGCTCCTGTTTTCATCATAAAACCTTCTGATTATCACGAACTGTAGGTTTGTTTATGTCGGATGAGTAGATGCTCAGTAAGGAAAATAGAGGGAGGTGATGGCCTCAAAGAGGGTAGCTGGGAATAAGAATCAGTAATGAATATCTAGAAAAGCAAGGGAGGGAGGAAGGAAACAAACCCTACCGGGATGGGATTGTTAAACGAGGGAAGTTAAATGAGAAATTAAAAAAGCATTCCATTCTACCACTAGGTGGCTCTGCTTGATAGAAAATTTAAGGGCATCAGGGCTTGGGTGCCTTTTAGCACTCTACAATCCCATTTAAATTACATTTTGTGAGGGTAGAAATTACCGGGTTTGGGTGTTTTTGATGGGGACTTGTTTCATCAAGATGTGGGAGGAGCTCGCAGGAAGCGGGAGGGGCCATACAGCACGTCGTCGGGGACTTGAGGAGGAGCAGGGCTGGCTGTCCTTTGGAAGGCCCTGACCCGCTGAGGAGGTGGCTCGAGATGACCGGCGAGCAGAGAATTTGACTGAGCCCAGGACCAGGATATTCCATTTCTGTCGGAATAAACAGAATAAACTTTCAGAGCAGGATAAACACCAGCCACCTTCTCCCCCTTCATGTTAACCAGAGGCCCCGTGCCGATCATTTTCTGTGCTTCCCGCGGGCAGTCTCTGCTCTCTGGGGGTCCCTGAGGTCCGAGCGTTGCAGGGACAGACTGGAGCGGTCACATGTTTGTCCTTTCGTTGGATCCTTATTCTGCCTCTTCCCCTAAACCTCACCTATGAAGTCACCACTCTGCATGCGTCCCCACAACAACCCCCCACGACCAAACCTCAGCTCTGAGGTGGGGGTGTGTAGCTCCTTGCAGACGGCAGATACTGTTACCTCCCCAGGTGTTTGCCTGTTAACACGTATTGCTGGTTCAGAAAAGATTCTATCTTATTTGAATGAGATACCAGATGTTTACAAGCAGATAAAAGAAACAAAATTGTTAGGAGGAGTCTGACAAAGGATATTACGAAGGAATATTTTCCCTGCATTTTTACCTAACCTAAAAATGAGCTGCTGTGTCTGTCCAGGATAGGGCTCAGGTCACCTCCCAAACCCTAGAAATGCCTTATTCCTGCGTCTCCCATGGGTGCCGCCGGAGGATGTGAATGTCAGTAGTTTCCATATACCTGTCTGTCTCTTGTTTTCTGAAATTATTGGCGACATTGGAGAAACATAGCGTTAGAGAAATGTATGATGGACAAAGTTCCTTAGAAATTGTATTTCTGAAATATTAAGAGGTTGGTCTTAGATATGAACTCTAGCTCATTTCTGCCCATAAGGCAAAAAAAAAAAATTCCTTAATTTATTTGGAGAGCTGCTTCATGATAAATTATTGTTTTTCAAGGGAATGTGTGCATTCCTTGGTGGGTTCGCAATGGCCTGGCTTTAATTCTCGGGGCGACAGCCAGGCCCTCCCCTCACCCCTTCTCTGCGAAGCTGGCACCGGCGGCAGAACCGGAGCGGCAGGCCCCACGTCTGGCACCGTGGGCACTTGCTGGTTACTTCAAAGGGCATTACCATATTGCAAAACAAATTTAATTTTTATTCAGTAAAAACTAAGAGAAGTACAAAACACTTAGAACAAAGCCTGGCATAAAATACATTCTCAGGAAGTGTTGGTTATTATTCTTAATAAATTTAAATTGAGATACACAAACTCACTGTCTTTGGGCCAATGAGGCTGGGTCCTCAGGCCCAGGCACGTGGGTATTGTTGGCTGGGGTATTATTTTGGCACCTGGTTTCCCCAGTGACTTCTTTTTGAATCTTGCCAATCCTGAGAAATCAGGAATTGGTTTTATCGTCTAGGAATGATCTGGAGACTTTCAATTCCTCTCCACTACAAGCATAGGCCCATTCATGTTGATGATTTCCGAATAGTCCTTTTACTTGTATGGAGTTTTTCAAAGGATATGCCTGTATAGCGTCGTATAGTTTGGATTATTTTATAGTTTGGATGATTTTTCCTTTCTGTTGTGATTTCATTTGCATTTCTGTCTCCTACTACCATCTTAATCACACGGACAGTCGGTGACATGGTCACTGGGTTTGGCCACCACCCACCCCGAATGCACCGCCGTGTACTCGAAGAAGACTCAGCCTTTTCTCGTTAGGGTTCCTCATCTCAGGCCTTCCCTAGTCTGAATGTCTAATCGAGGACAGGAATAAGATTTGTTCTTTTCTCTAAGAGCATGTGAACCCTGAGAAGCACAGGTGGAGGGTGTATAGGTCATTGGGCTGAGAATCAGAACATTAGTTTTAAGACCTGGCTTGACGGCCATTTGTTCCTCAGAAAAGGACAAGTGACTTTACCCTCTGAGCTTCAGGTTCTTTATCTTGAACAATGGAACGAACACACCTGTTCATGCAGTTTCACAGGATCACAAGAGAGGAAAACACCACTTTGTAGGTCTTCAACCACTATGCAAATGGAGTGAATTCTCTGATGCTCTGGCAGCAGCTTTGCCTCTTTCCCCAACTGGCTTTTTTTTTTTTTGAGACTATATTTTAGAGCAGTTTAGGTTCACGGCAAAATGGAGCGGAAAGTACAGAGATTTCCCCCACTAGTGACCTCCCCCACCAGAGTGGTCTGTTTGTTACAATCAATCAACCCTCTTTGACACACCATTACCCCCAAAGTTCCCCTTCGGCCTTGATCCGTGTGAGTCACCTTCCTCTACCATGTAAGCAGTGCACAGGTCACACTGATGCTCCAGAAAGTGTGTAATAGTCTCTGAGGATCGAACTCGGTATAAAACACCCTTCCCCATCCCCCTGCTAATTAAGACTTCTGGAACCTATTGACAGGGTTCAGGCCTTCTTGATGCTAGGACGTCACCCTGACATAGAAGCTCTGTTATACAGAGTCTGTTGTGCTTTGGGTGGGGGGCGGGGGGAGTCGATCTGGTCACCACCCTATACCTCATGCACCACACTGCAGAAAGAAGGTTCAACTCCTCCAGCTTCTCTTGTTGGGGGCCATCCTCTCAGGCCTTTCAGAACTCCCCACACATCCCGTTGGCCGGCCCTATCCTCAGGGAAGGGACGTTTTTCCCCTTGAGCTGTGAAATCTAAAATTTTGCCTAGGATTTAAATAAGGGCCAGAGGTGTACAAAGTGTTATGGAAACTGTATGGTATGGTTTTCATGTTTTTTAAAAAAAACAATAGGAAAAGACAAAGGAATTATAGGGGAGAAGGAGTTCTATATTCTCATTTCTTACATGAACACCTTTCTCTGTAAGTCATACCTAGTATATGCCAGGCTTTGTCTGAGGTTCTGGGGACAGTGTCCGTGGAATGGTGTCCAAGGGGTGGGCTGGGCAGTGGGCGAGGCCTGTCTGCCTTAGACTCAGAGAGAGTGGCTTCACTGACGCTGGTGAGCGTTGCCAGCCCACGGTGATAACAAAAAAAAAAAACAAAAAAAAAAACAAAAAACCAGCCCCACTGAGTTGGTTTAATCTGTGTTTACACTCTCTGTAAAGGACGCACTCCCGCTCTGTCTCCCCTAACCCTCGCCACACCTTCCCCGAAGGTCACTGGAGAGTGATGAAAGCAAGATGGATAGAGTCCTTTTTGTTACTGTGCTGGCTGGCCTCTCCCTTCTCCCTGAGGCCTTTGTGGTTAGTTTCCCGAAGGCGTGGTGTCTCTGCCCCTGTACGCTTAGGTGGACAGCCACAGAAAAGAAGTTGCAAATATTAGCCACGTGCCCACCTTCTTTCCCTTCATGCCTGCTGGCCACAGTGATAGTTTTATCCTGAGTAACAGCATTGGGGAAGACTAGGGGAAAATTACATTAGGGTCCATCCGAGTGGATTTATAACTTGGTAAGTACCATAGTGACAACAATAAGACGTTTCTATAGCATTTTCTATACGCCCAATGCCCTAGTACCTAGAAATTCGTCAGAGAATGTAAATAACAGTATACCTGTTCTGGCCTTGTAATAGCTCCATTGTTTACTGTATTGATTCATAGCTGAGCTCAATGACATTATAAAAATGAATCACTGCCCTCGCCCATGTGGCTCAGTGGGTTAGGTGTCATCCCTCAAAAGCAAAGGGTCGCTGGTTTGATTCTGGGTCATGGCACCTGACTGGGTTGCGGGTTCGGTCCCTGGTCAGCGCATGAGAGGGGGCAGCTGATCGATGTTTCTCTCTCACATCGAAGTTCCTCTCCCCTCTTCCTCCTTCCCTACCCCTCTCTCTAAGAACAAACAAATAAAATCTTTAAAAAAGTGAATCACTTCAATACTTTTCAGAAAATCCATGTTCATTTAATATACTATACTTTGAATTTATTCCTATTTCTCCCCTTCTCTTTGTCTTTTTTTTGTTTGTTTGTTTTTGGAGAAAGTACAATTGTTGATGTAGTTTTTCAAAATATATTTATTGAGTCCCTGCTATGTGTCTGACACTGTCTACATTATGCCAAGACAACCAGTTAGAAAAATGAAATAATTCCTTTCACTACACCTGGAACTCACAGAGGTTAATTAATTAACTTCTCTAAGTTTATATAATGAATTTATGACAAAGGTTAATCTAGAGAAAATTTCTTTTAAAACTGCATTTTCCATTTTCTTTTTTTTTAATTAGTTAAAATAAGAGAGCTATTCCATAAATTAAAGGAAAATTTTGAGGAAAAAAAAAGCAGCAGAAGTCCAGCAGCCATCAGGTGCATCT